CTTGAGAGGCTAAGACAGGAGATTTGTTTGAACCCAGAATGGAGAGGTTGTAGTGAGCTGAGATCGTGCCATTGCACTCCAGCCTGGGCAACACAGCAAGACTCTCAAAAAAAATTTAAAAAGTTAGATCACATATAAGAATAATAGAAAGCTATTCAAGCCCTCCTCAACTCTGCCAAAAAAATCTGCTTTTATCTTAAGGCTTTCTTCTCTAAATTGTAAACATTAGCTATTAGATGGAGGCTATCTGTTATCTTTCAAAACTGATATTTAAAATGATTTTTTGATACAAGTCTATATCAATACAATTGGAAATCTTTTGAGTGCCTGCTGTGTGTAGGGCTCTGTGTAAATATGAATATAATTTTGGCCTGTTGGTCTAATGTAGAGACACATAAATGACCTCCAGAGTGTTAGGAAGAGTGATAGGATATTGCTTAAGGGTTAGAGTGGGTATAGAAGAACTAGTTAAATTGGCCTTTGCAGTTTCTTAGAAAAAAAAAAAGAAAATAAAAACTCACAACAGAATATGTATGCCTTCACTTTTTTTAAACCATTGGTCTGAATAAAGTGAGGTCATGTAATATTAAACATGGACATTATCAGGAACACTGTGTGGATGACCATTGCTAAATCAATTATACTTTCCTCCACATCCATCACTGAGACAGCCAAATAAATGGCTGAGCTATGTTACAGTCTGCTAATTTTCCACATAAAACTTCAGTTGGACAACTGCAATTTCCCTGTCATAGAATTTCTATGCTGTGCTTTAAATCGTGTTCTGCTGCATTTTCTGTGGTTCCTTAATTATGTTTCTAGCTTAGGACTTCACATATTATGGGTGTCTCCGAAAGTTTGACTGAATATCTTCTTCACTAATTCAGAGTATTCATCATTGCTCAGACCACTGTATAGTACCAGGTACCTTCATTGAATCAGAGGTGCAATTTTCTTTCTGATTTAAAAAAAATTGCTTACTAGATCAACAATAAGCCTGCTGCCCCTAAGAATCATTCAGATTCTGCCATCACCATTCAGTTACATATTTATGTATAAAGAAATAAGAATAATTTGAAAGTAATATACTTAAATATTAACCCCAGAGATTATGGTTTCAATGAAAACAGGGTGCCACAGTTATGAAACCACTACGCCTGTGCATATGTGTGTGTGTTCATCCCCCTATACATATAAGTGCACACGTAGAACGCTGCCAGGCACTGTGCTGTGTGCTTCACACATGACATGTTATTTGATTCTCTCAACCAGTCTGTGAGGTAGGTGCTATATGCATCCTCATTTTATAGGTAAAGAAACTAAGGTGTAGAAAAAATTATTTTCCCAAGGTCTTACAGCCAGTAGTTGGCCTAGCTGGGAATGGAAGCATGTCTGTTTTGTGGCAAAGCCAGAAAGTCAGTGGAAAGATCTGTTTATGGCCTACCCAGAAATAAGTGATGGTGATCTACTTTGTTAGTTTTCTCTCCTGTAAAAGAGGAGAATTGGACTCAGAGAGATCTGAGGCCTATCAAATCCCTGATTTTATGATCATGATTATTTTCAAGGGGAGTGCAATAATATCATTTGTTTTGTGAATCTCTGTTAGTCTTCCAGTTTATGTCCACTGATTCATTGATTTAAAACCAGTGGAAAAGTTCCCATATGACACTTTGTTAAATTTAGGAAGTAGCTCTCCTCTCATCATTAAAGCCAAAGTTGATAAGCATTTAAATTATTGAGCAATTTAATTTTTTTGAAGCAGAAAATACTTACATCAAAAATTTTAAATGAGTATACCCTTATTTATAGGATCATATGTTCTTTAAAAGCCAAAGCTATATCCTGTTGAACTACGTTTTTTCCCCCAATGCTTTGCAGATAATAGATGCTTAATAAATGTTTGTTAAATAAAATTAACATGACAAAGTAGTTTTTAAGTACTAGTTTACATAAAGTACTGTGATTAGTGATGGATTTCTAAAGGCCAGGCTCGGTGGCTCACACTTGTAATCCCAGCACTTTGGGAGGCTGAGGCAGGCAGATTACAAGGTTAGGAGTTCGAGATCAGCCAGAGCACCATGGCAAAACCCCGTCTCTACTAAAAATACAAAAATTAGCCTGGCGTGGTGGCACATGGCTGTAATCCTAGCTACTCAGGAGGCTGAGGCAGGAGAATTGCTTGAACCTGGTAGGTGGAGGTTGCAGTGAGCTGAGATCGCCCCATTGCACTCCAGCCTGGGACACAGAGAAAGACTCGGTCTTATACACACAAAAAGATAGATTTCTGACATCTAACATCAGTAACTTCTGATACTTCACAATTTAAGCTGTTTCTCATTTATTGTGTTTGTTTAAGAATTACTTTATTAAAAGTGACGAAAGGTAAATGAAAGTTGTCTTGCTTGTAATCCTTGATATATAAGACTAACATTTTAGAAACAAGCACACGTAAATATGTAACAATCTGTTTTCTTTAAGGCTCTAGTCTAGTAACCACAAGAAGAGGTAGGGATTTGGAAGTCAAAGGGGGAGTAGAGACAGAGAGCTGTGCATTTCTTAGGGATGAAATGGGTCCTTGAAAATGGTCAGGAAATTAGATTCTAGATAACTTTATTGATTGAATTTGTAGAGTAGAAAATTCATTTTGGAGGAATATTAAGGACAGACATTATCGTGTAGTTTTGTGGAGACTATGATACACATGATAGGACACTTAGAGACCCTGAGAAGTGAGTCACATCCTTAAAGTGCCAGTTATTTAGTAGCAGAATAAAGATGAAAAGAATTCAAACACCTTTATTAACTCTCTTATCTTCCCAATGCCCTGCACTCATAGATTAATTAATTCATTCATTTATTCAAAAGACATTTTCCTGTGCATATACCACATTCCAAGCAGTTTAGTAGATACTAGAGACACATGAGTGAATTAAACAAACATGGCTTCTGCCGTTGTACAGTTTGCAAACTTTTGGCTTCTCTTCAGTAAATGAGTATAATTAAATTACAGAATTTAGTGTGGGAATACTTGTTTTGATGATGATGAAGATTTAGATGAAAATTAATATGATTTCTTTGTATATATTTTCACAAGTTGATGACCAGGTTGATTAATGAGTGTTTATAGAGCAGATTCATTTTTCTGTTACTTATTTTTTAGATTGATGAATGATAAACAGACTCCCATGAAGTTTCTGAAAATCTAGTGACGGGAACAGAGAAGCCTCTAGGAGAAATGGGCACAGTGTTATAAAGGAGTGATTTGTTACTTTTCCAACAATATAGAGAATCTTGAGTTAAGAGTCAGGGATAAGATTCAGTCATCAATCCTTAACTGAGTATTTTCTTCCTCCATCACCAAACCTTGTAGTTTCAAGAGAGTGGTTTTTTCCTTAAAGTGAATCTTAGTAATGCTATAAGCTGTTTTTTTTTTTTTACTATCAAGATAGATGTTAAATACTCATTATCAATTATTTTAAGATCTTGTGTTTCTTCCATCTCTATCCAGACCAGATGTGTAGACTCCTGCTTATTTATAATGAAGATAGCTAATACATTATGTCTCTCAAGAATGTTTAAAGAGTTAGTGCTTTCCCTAAATATGTTTTAATTTCAAAATAGGAGTAAAGGTTAAAAACAAAAACAAAACCTGAAGAAACAAAAAGAAAACCTTCCTAAACCACAAATGGTGAGATCCTGCTAATTATAGTAAGGGATGAATTTGCCGAGCAGGATAAGTTTAAAATTGTACCATTTGTGTATAGAGTTGGCCTTCTGTATCAAAATCTATTTCTGTGGGGTAGAGACTACTTTTGCCTACTTCCTTACTCTGCAGTGTACACAAGTATAAAAAAGGTACTCTTCATACTGTTAATAATATTGTGTGATATAATTATTTAATGAACGACAAATGAAGAGACAAAAATAGTGCCTATTTGGCATTATGTTTAATTAAAATTTTGACATTAAAAAGTTGTAGATACTCTTTCCATTTAAGACATTATATTATTTTTAAAACAAAATATTAGCGGCTGATAAAATCTGTTAAAGCTGTAGTTAGCCTGCCTTTGGCAAATTGGTATTTACTGGATAATTGATAAATGCTTTGCTCATTAATTGGTCTTTGTTTAGCTAAAGGCAGTAATTTTCTAACATAAACACATCAGAAAAAGATGTATTATTTAATCCTTTTGGGTTCTTTTCTTCCTTCTGGGTCTTTGCTGATACTTTCTTTTTTCTGTGTTCCCCTCTGTTTAATTAAACCCTGATTATACAAGCCCTAAAAACTGGGATAAAATATGGCCAATATGAAAAGTACTCAGAGGCAGAAATAATTAAAGGTGTGTATTACAAATAAAATCAAAAGGAATTAAGTTTATTTTTAGCTCAGATAAGTGGAGGCTGAAAGTGGATTAAAAGTAATATTCAATTAAGTGGTATGCGTATCTGCCTGTGTGTATTTAGGAGGGGTTGTGCGTGATTACCCAATCTGCAGAACAAGAAAATGAAGACAGAGTATTACTAAAGCCAATGCTACTAGTAATTAGAAAGTATTCTAGTCTTTGGGGGATTTGAGAAGGTCTTTTATTTCTAAGTTCTGCCAAATGTCATTTTTTTTTGTCAGAATATGTTGGAGATTAATGAGAGCAGAGAGTAAGCAGCCGATAAGGAGAGCAAATAAGAGTTAAGAGAAGACAGAAAAAAGTTGGTTTCACCGGAGTCTGTAACTGACAGAGAAATGTTAATGCATTAAAATCACTGAGAATATTATATAAAGAAGGTAAAAGCAATCAAGACACCCTGTGTTTAAGCTGGTAAGCACACTGCTTAATAACTCTCTGGTTTTGTACACATTCTACAAAAATCTTGATTATCGACTTGCATTTTTCTTACCCTAATACGCTATTTTACATGCATGGCTCAAAATCGTCATTTTTATCTGTGCCCTGATTGGTTACACATACCTAGAGTTTCCCTCAATATTTAACTGCCTTTCTACCTTATCCTCACGCATCCTCCAGCCGCCTGCTCAGAGGTTACCAAGTCAGAATGCAGCAAGAGCCTCTGCAGCTGCTACAACTGGTAGAAGTGGGTTAGACAGATGGTTCCTCAACAATGACCCATCAAGGTCTATAGTTGTAGAAGGGAGAGGGGAGACAGGTATTATATTTCCTGCCTAAGATGTCTACTGAATGGAAGCAATTTCAGTGAATCCAGCTCACTGTCTCAACAGCCGCTCACCTGCCCTGTCTCCTCCCCTGTCTCATAACTGGACTAGCAGTTAAACAGCTGTATACCCTTGTCTCCCTGTCTCATTTTCCCCGGAGCTCCATCAGCAAAGAGTAGCAACAGCAACTGCAGAAGCGGCAGCCAGAGATAGGCAGGGCTGGTGCTTGCAGCCGTGCAAATCGCCTCCTCCTCAACACACACACACACACACACACACACACACACACACACGCACAGACTTCCAATATCACCGCGCCCTGACATAAGGACTAAGAGAGACGAGAGAAGAGCGTTAGTCACGGACAACAGGTATTTCATCTCTGACAAATTGTTTCCTTCCGCTGCTTGTTGGTTTGGCTGATAAAATAATCGTTTGTGATCGCTAGCTTGAGTGGGAGACTGGAGGACTGGAGGTGACCGCGTTAGAGGAGCGGGGATGAAGTGGGAGGAGTGAGAGGTGGGGAATGGGGATGCTAAAGATGACTTTCGGGCTCCGGAAACCTACGTCTTTCAGCCTCCGCTGTTTTTGAGTTGCAAATGATCAGAGACGGGTGAACTGCAGGCAGCCTATGTTGTTGCCTGGAAGTAGATTTCCATCTTTCAGACACTAGTTCCAATGGGCCGGGTGTTCTGGAAGGGGGCGGCAGTGGGGAGGAGGATGCTGTGAGCAGAGTTCTTGAAGCTCTGCTCCTCTGGGGAAGCCGAGCTGTGTGGGAGCCTTCTTACTGTGCGGGGAGCGTGTGAATTGGAAAGGATCCTGAGAGCTGGCTAGTCCCAGTTCCTCTCCGGAAAAGCAGTGGCTCTCGCTTCAGAGATGCGCCCAGCTTTCGCCTGCATCGCACTGCAGTAAGTTAAACTGGACCTGGTTGACAAATGGAGTGGCTTCTGGGTACGTGGTACGGGGGAAGGGAAGCTGAGAAGAAATGGGGAGGAAAGTTAGAAAAGCGTAGCTTTGAATTCTCCATGAAATGTTAAATCGGTTCGTCTCCCTGACTCCTGTCCTAGTTATGCGATTGTAGGGGTGCTCCGTGATTTGCTGGCGGATGCCGCTTGTGCATTAGCTATGCAGAAAGTGCCCTGTCCATTGTGATTTTAGGCAACACAACTGGTGAATGTTTTCTGATTTAATTCCAAGAGTGGTCTCCTGAAAGTTATCAATGAGATAGCAGCTTATCTTTTCAAAAGGTAATTCATAAAGAGGTTGACTTAGACTTTCAAATGCCCTACTTAAAATTGTTACAAGTTCCAGCCCAGATTTATTCTTAATCCGTGAACTAAGCAAGCAAGCAAACAGAAGTCTTTGATTTACCTTATTAAAATAAAATGTGAAGTGGGTCTCTAGATAACTGCTAGGCAACAGCCTAAGCCACACTGATGATATGATAAACATTCGAATAGTCTTTAGTGGGTGCTACATTAGAGGGTTCCCTTCGTTTCCTCCTGCTACAATAGTCTCCTCCACTTGCTGAACAGTCTCTTTCATGTGATTTTAAAGTGGTGATTTTTACATAAACGGCTCTATACTTAGAAACCAAGCGGCATTGTGTTCCTTGGCAGAAAACGAAGGCTTAAAACTTTTTAAAAAACAACTTCAACTGGTTGCTCAAATTGCAGATCACCAACTCCTTTACAAACAGGTCAGCAAGGGCCAGTCCATTGTAAAGCAAATGACCAAAGAAACATGAATGCCAGCAGAATACTGAAGGTCTTTTCTAGAATAGGAATCAGAAATAATTAGTCTAAAGATGTTGGGGTACCTAACCAGGTCCTATTGCATTGACCAAATTTTTATAGTTGGGGGTTGGGGAGAAAAATTCCTTCAAGCAGAAAGGATACATACCACAAAAATGTTAGACTTAGTTGGAGGATCATTGGAGAAAACACCATGTTAGTACATTTTTCTCCAAGAAAGATTATTGACAAAACATCAATTACCTGAAAGAGAATCTAAGATTTTAAGCTGGATATTTCCATGGGCTAGCATAAATTCCATAGGATAAGAAGGCTTCAAAATTTATGAAATAACTATTGTGAAAAGCAAAGTCATTCTGAAATCCTCTGTCTTTAGAAAAAAGGTAACTAAGGACTACTCTTATGCTGTAATTTCAGTTTTAAATTGTGTTACTCTTTCTCTAATCCACCAAATCTTCGTACTTTTACCAAAAATAAAACATGTCAAGAATGGCATTGGAATTGTGTTGACTAATTTTCTACTCATCATGGGATCTCCAGTATAAAGGTTTACTTACTTTTTTTGGCATTAAGGGAGTTCCCAATTTGTTATGGGCGATCGATTCCACACACGTACATAGTATCCCTGTGCATAAAGTCTACATGTGACTTTGTGAATCACCGAGTAAAATGTAACTCGGGATATATGTGCTACAATAGTGGATACATGAGGGTGATTAAAAATTTTTGACAACAGTGAGAAAAAGAAAAGTCTCCATGAGGAATAGAAGAATATGGTTGGAGCACATTCACAAGCAGTTCCTTGATACTCTACAGTAGACTATCATTACCTGAACTCTGAATGTCTTTAAAGAGAAGGAAAATTAGGCTAAGAGCACTGATAAAAATTTGAGAAAATTTGTTTAAATATAGAAATTTCTGTAGTTGGAGTTGAGTGGTGGCAATGCCTTTGCTTCCTACTTTCTTGTCCTTCTCGTAAGCAAAGCTCATGTTATGACTGGGAAGAAGATTGTCAGAATCATTTGTGAAATAAAACAATTATTTAAATTGTTTTTAAAATTTCAGTTAAAATCATTGGTAAAATAATTGGTAAATCATTTGCTGGGATTGTGCCTGAACTAGGATCCTGTGAGTAGTATCCTATGATGCTTTTTCTTGCACACTACTGAAAGAAGGGAGAGTTGTAGCCATACAAGCCAGACAAAGATAGCTCCTGATCACTAAATCAAAATCTGCCTACTAATAACAACTTTGATGCGATGGATAGGCTTGAAATGACATTTTGAGATGATCTTTGCCTGGATGCTTCTCCTGACTGCCTTCAGCAGCAGAGCTGTATTTATATATGCATGATACTGTTGCACTATTCTCTTAAGAGTAATACCTCTAGCAGAGGAGCACTTGCCCAGAGAAAACTCTAGGAAAAATTCTGAAAAAGCCTATTCCTATTAGCTCTCTCCCAGCAATAGCATTTTCTCTCTCTTGTAAAACACTAACACAAATTCTAACCAAGTGAGTTGCATATGGTATGTCCCAATACCATAGTCAATACCTTGCGTATTTACTATGAAGTAGGTTCAACTGCTTGATAGCCCTGGATTATTTTCTCATGTGCTATGTTCATCACACAATGGATGAGCAGTGGTGGTTATTCTGAGTATAGTAGTTGCAGGTACTGGGTCAAGAGCTTTAAATATGGCCTCTCATTTACCGTATAATAGCTGCAAGAGGGAGATGGCATTTTCTCCCCTTTGGAAAAACTCAAACTCAGAAGGAATAAACAAATTACTGAAAGCAACATATTTAGTGAATGCTGAGTTAGAGTTAACTACGCGGTGTGACTCACTCTGATTCTTAATTGCTTTGCTACTTAAAAAAATTAAAATGGTACTGTACTATGGATCAGGGTGGGGGGTAAGCGTATTATTTTGTGGGTACCGTGGATGAGTAGTGCTTGGGAACTCTTCCTTTGCTCATGATACGTAAGATTGGATCCACCTAAACTGGAATCTACCTGCATTGACCCAAGATCCAAACTTGGCATATTCACCATTCCAATTTCAGGCTCTGCTTCGGCTGCACAGACTCTGGAAATGAACGTGAGGGCATGGCCAGGAAGGAAGATAATGCACTTAATGTGGAGAAAAGTTGGAAGATCCAAACACAGAGGGGTATACAAAGAAAAGAAAAGAATCATATAGTAGAAGGCTGGTCCAAAATTATGTCCACATTCGTTGTCCTGAGGGACACTAAATAACAAACTCTTTGGGCTGTGTGTGGGGTAGAGATCTTTAGTCACAGATGAAGTACAGACTCAAAACATCTCTTTAAATAGTTGTAAGGTCTTATTAGAAAAAGATTATGCTTGTCATCAGATAATCTCTTTTACATACTCTTTTTAAAAGTGGAAAAACAATGATTCAAAGAAAAGTTGGGGAGTAAGGCCAGATGCTGACCGAAGAGGTACAAAAGTAATTGGAAATATCACTGGTTCTTGCTTAATGATTTTCTGAAAGTTTGCCAGGATGTAAAAGGCCATCTTTAACTGGTTAGGATAAAAACAAAATGGTTCATTTAGGTAGAACGTGAAGTGTTACAGAGACTAACATGATTACTCTCACTTGTCTTCTTATCACAGAGACAAACACTAACAAGGAATAAAATGAAAATGTTACAGGCATAGAGCCAAACAATATTTTAAGATTGGTCTTTCTCAGCATGCTAAATTTAAACAGCCGGAATTCTTTTTTAAGGATTTTCTGAGTCAACAATTTGAAATGAAGGATTTGTCTTTTAACAGGGAGTTTGTATTGCATTGTAAATTTGAAACACAATGTCCTCAATTCAGTTACTTTTGATTGGCAATGTGCCAATCACTATAGATGCAAGGAACACAAAAGCTGTACCTTCAAAATCAGAGAATAAATGGACACGCTCCATAAGCAAACTTGATGCTCCTGAGCTATTGTCAGATGCATATGTGGTGACAGAGTTTTGAAAATACATTCACATTGTTGTCCCTGATTCATTCTCTTGTCATTTGCAACACTTCAGGTTAGGGCTGGAAGAGTTAGTTTTCAGGATTGATTTTTGAATGTGATGCTAAAATCGGCTTCCTTGCCCATTGGTTCTCTTCGTCTTCTAGTTTAAAAATAATGTTAGTAACTTTTATTGAGTGCTTACTACGTGGCAGTTGCCTTTATAGCTATTTTGAATATTTAATCTTGATCATACCCTTCTGGGATAATTTTATTATTATCCTCATTCTCATTTTACAAAAGAGCAAACTGAAGGACGACAGGGTTAACTAACTTGACACAGTTACAAACTAGTAGGAATAGAGCCGAGGTTTGAACCCAGCCGTCTAGTTCTAGAGACCATTCTTTTTAATCAAAAGGCTCTAAATTGGCTATTAACTGCCGCTGGCTTATTATAACCCTCCACAGTTCACTCAATGTTGCATCTTCCTTTTCTCTGCTTATATTTACCTCTCAGTAATTTACTTTTGGATACCCCAACTCCTCTGCCCTCTCTCCACACTAATGTGTTTTGGTAATGTGTCTTTGTTTCTTAAGCCTCTATTCTAGTATCAAGATACTTTGAGGTATCTATTTGTA